CATAAAATGAATTTTCGGAATGTAATAATTGTATCGCATTAGAAATCCTGTCCTTGAAATATACAAAACACTGCCTATCGATTTTAACATCATCAAAAATTAATTTATGTTTCGATGAGTAGCAAAATATCAAAATCTTGAACAAAGTTAAAAAGGACGGATCATAAAGTTTTGACTTTAAAACTGGAATATTCCATAAAGGAAAAGCTACTGTCCCAGCTCAGGCTTTATACCGAAGATTGAATTGTCTCAACAAAGCACATTTAATTGTCCTTAAACAGTTAATCATGTGAAAAATAAGCCAGTTTCCCATTTTCTGTGCATTTATCATAGCCGGAAGTAACAATTTTCTGCTATCCTGACAATATTTCGGGAATATGTCGCTTACTACGATTGGTTAATGGGGAAGTGTAGGTGTCGTGTTGTTGACGCCTCACTATTTGAAGGTGGTTTAACGACATCATTGTATTTGTTCAACATTTCGTGTGTTGTCTGTTTAATATGAATCTTGTCCGAAAAGTGGTAAAAACATAATCACTACGGGTCTTGTTTTGTTTACGTCGTATTCGCAATCCTGTGAGCACTCTTTATTGTTAGAGTTTCACGTGCGTTCGGTACTTCAAGAACGTTTTTCAATAATTCCAGTGAGAATTTTTGTACAGCAGGGACGTCGTCCTCGGGATTATCATGGAACAACAGTTAGCGAAAATAAGTTTATTTCTAAAATCCATTTTACGACTATTGTTTTAATCTTAAAGAAATAAGGGTATGAACGGACTGGGCTGTCAGCAATGTCGCCTGGCTTTTTCTATTTAAAACGTTTTGATAGATGTCCAAATAGCCCTTCAACATATTTATGATTTTATTGCAGGTTAAGAGTTATAATTGTCCGGTTAAGTGAGGTATATCATAGTTAGCACGAATATTTCGTGCTCGCCGTTATTGATATGGATACATAATTGAAAGGCGGGTATATCGCCACTCGAGGACTTCGCATTGCATTGAACACATACGTATCCCACCCGCCCACCCCAAAGCAATGTTTTATTAAGCCATATTTTCGCATCCATTGGTTGGTTGTTAGCGAAAAAGACTTTAGTGTTTGTTTGTTTGAATCAACTTGTAAATTATCGATATAATAGTTTTTTCCGCAGGTTGTGAGCTTCCATGATTGCATGTCCAGAGATTATGATATATGGATCCATCTAACTCACAGAAATACCAGTTATTATTTGTATTGATTTGTATACAACGATATTGAAACAATGCGAAGGCCTTTATCCTACTTGAGAGTTGTTGTTTATTCTGCCTAAGACTGAAGGTTTCACAACTCCTATTAGGTGATAAATTTTTTTTTTCGGTTAAGCAGAGCGATTTAGAAAATAAATTACGTTAACAGTGATTGGACAATTGGACATTACGGCTGAATTGCCACGTGTTATACATACATTTTGGTTTACAGAAATAACTTCAATTAAAATTTTGGTGACAAAAAAAAGAATATTTCTTTAAAGGCGTATGCTTTTAGCCCGGCGACCCCAGCTGTTTCATGTTATCATATTCTTAGATCGTGCAAAGTTTAAATAAATTATATTATGTTATTTTCATTCATCTTACACTAGCAGAATGTAAAAGCCTCCTTGGTCGAGTGGTTAGAGTCGATGACTTCTAATCCAGTTACCTCTCTGGCTAGGGTTCGATCCCCGGGAGATGCTTTGGTAGTTTAGCGCTGAGGAAGGTTGTCTAGTACTGTTGTAACTCTCCAGGAACGATGATTAGGAGACTACCCGCCTATATGACTGAAATACTTTTGGAAAAAGGCGAAAAAGAAACATACAAACAAAACAAAAACAACTAGCAGAAGTCTTTAATTATAATTTTTATTTCTCGAATTACTTTTTCATAATTGATTATTAAGTGAAGGTTTGAAATATTTGAATATAATTCTTGAACCAAATTCACAATTGAATCGGTCAATAGCAACATATACAAGTTAGCTTCAGAAGTATGCGAAAGGTGTTTTTGCAGCTTTGGAACATTTCTTAAATTGTTTAAATGGCGGGAACGTAGGAATTTCTGACTAAACGAATTACACCAGCGGATAATAGCAACGTATAAGCTATTTCCGTCAGTCTCCCAGGAATAATCTGCGAGGTGTTTCAAAGTTAAAGGGGCAGCAAAATTTCGGCAGTATACGAAAGTCCATATTCTATTAAGTATAATTTTAGTTTAATAAGCCAAATTTCATTTACTATATGCGGTGTTTCGTTAAGCGTGAGATAGATTTAAAAGAAGAAGTCATTCTTCCTTGCATATCAATAGTTTTATCCGATATTTTATAATAATTTATTGTGTATGAATATAATGCTCATCGGGATTCTAGCTAAGTCGCCGTTAAAAACGTCTAAATTTGTAGAGCGTTTGACAGATACCTTTCTATAGAATTTGGAGTGAATTTGTTCAACATCAGGTCCGACGTGATGACCCAAGATTTCAGCAGCGTAATTTAACGTAGAAGCAACTGCGATGCATCTACAAAATAACCGTGATTGGCAAGTTGTAAATTAAGCTGTTAAAATCAATGAACAAATTATCCAATGACTACAACCGTACTGGGCTTCTCGCTTTTGTATTCGGCTCAAGTTGCAATTTTCATGTACACGGACACCCAAATATTTAAAAGAACCTACTAATTCTATATATATTTAAAATTGTTATATGGATAAAAATCAAATTTAGTAAAATTTTATTATGAATGTCTTTATTAAACATTGTAGTTTTTGTTTTCCTTATATTTAAACGTAAGCGCCATATTGCTATATTCTTCTGTATCGTTCAAAAGTGAATGAATGGATTTTGTCGTGAGCAAAAATAACTGCGTCATCGACTAAAAGTAATAAAATAATTAAAAGTTGCCAATGTTCATTTTTCCAGTAACATCTACACTAAACGAAACTTATAAGTACTCCGACCAATTTTTTATTATATTGTGTTAGAATTACTATAACTAGTCTAAGTCGATACTGTATAAACTTTAATCATAGTATCATCATTTTAAAATAGTAAATGCATTTTACAATAACTCAAACTTAACAGAAAATCAGTAACTGAGAACACCATTGTAAAAAAAAATCAAATACCTTCAAGTTTAGTCAATTCATACCTCTGCATGCGATGCGCCGCCCTGTAATAGCCCAAATGACAATTCCTCTTTGTTGCAGCGACATTCGGGCCATTTTGTGTTTTTATGTTAGGCACATCAATAAACTAACAATTTGCATCAAAATACACAATGTGGGCATCTTGCACGAAATGCACGTGCCCATTTTCGGGTTTTTGCATGTGACCGCCATATTGCGTTCCGGATGATTGATTTTGTTTTAAAAACATTCATGCAGTCGGAAAGTAGGGTCAGTACACATTTTCAACATTGATTTGGTATATATTTTGAAAACCGGAGTTTTCCTGCAAGTTTGAAATCGGAGTACTTATAAGTTTCGTTAAGTGTATATTATCACTTTAACAATATCGTTTAAATAGATGAGATAAAAATGCTACTGCCGAGGTCTCATTGCATAACTCCAATATTTGAATTTATAAAGCTAGTCGAGATATACCATACAAACGATTTAGCTGCTGAGTACATTGACTTTATAGCTAATACAAATATTGTGCTAATATTCGCATCCATAAGGTGTTGCCAAAAATTCCCCACTTTTGTCATACATTTTTTCCCAATCGCGAAAGATTACTTATATCATTTTTTTTCTTTTGAGCAAGAGTTTTAGAAATAAAGAGCATGTAAGATATAAATACAGTCAATACTTGATTTTTCTTTTTAAATCCGAATTGATTGTCAATTATCTTTATATGTAAAATCTTTCGTTCTTGTCAGCCCATTTTGTAAGTCGAATTATAATTAGTTTTGGGAATAATTTGAAATGAATCTTTATATACTTCCAGTATACTGTTATCAGTCCACGGACTCTTTGAATAGTTTTAGTAAAACTGCATTTTAACTTCTAATTCGGGGAAATCAGCATCTTAGGCATTATCATATACAAAATTACTATTAAAGTGCGAGCTTGTGTCAGTGGTAGCTTCGTTACCGTAAAGAGTATTGGAATGAGTAAATAGTGATGCAACCGATATATTGATTTGTTCTTTTGAATCGGTATTACAGTGGGATTTTTCCAAATTTCTTTGGTTGCGATTATGATAATTAATCGATACGTCCTCATTCACTTCGCTAAAAAAGGATTTCATAATGTCAGGCTTCATAACCTCTGATCCCCATTTGTCCCCATTCAAATTTCATTTTGTTTTCTTCCGTCAATGACTTTCTCGTTTGGGGCACATGCTTTCTATTACGTTGGGACCATACGCCACTATTCACGTGGTCAGATTGGAGGTTTCATGACAACCACTTTATGAACACATCTGCGGCTGTTTCTTAATTCAAAACAACTTCGCACATATGTGTAGCATGGTGAGACAGTGTGTCATGCACATGACCAAAACCCGTAGCTTCAACGTCAATGTCTAATTTCGAAGTAAAAAGTCAGCAAGTTAAAACAATCTCTTCTCTTGCCCATAACTCTGTTATGCGTCAAAGGATTTAAAAAAATGACACAAATATGTTTTATGATGAGACGGTACGCAAGAACTAGACCTGTACGATTTATATAGGAACGATATCACTTCCTTACTAATATCTATTCCCTAAGGTTGAGTAAGGAGATATGCTGTCACTCTGTGTAAGAAAGCAGCACATAATTCATTATTCATATTTATAACAGGTTGTTTTTGATGTTTCCTTTTGTTGTTGGTTGGAATAATAACAAATAAATCTTTAAATGCTGTGCGAAGAAAAACCCGAATCAAACAGATTCAATAATGTTTTTTTCTTTTTTAATTTTAGACAAATCATATTTTTGATTGTAGACAAATTAATCAAATTTACACATTTACCATAAATATCTTTATTATTGATTGTATGCCGTATTTATAATTGGTAAAGTAGCTAATCATCAAACGGAGAAAACAAATTGCCAAAAATACATCGTTAAATACATGTTTCGTGTTTTGAAATATAATAAACAGATTGTATGCTAATAACTGTTTTTTGTATGTGTGATTTTTGCAATTATTCAAAGCTCTGGGTGGTTGAAAATTTTTATTTATCTTCTTTTTTGTAGTTGTGGTTGTCTGGTTGAAAATTACATGTCGATTTTGTTGTTTTGCATTTGTCCTTGTCATAGTCCATTCGATACCATTGGTTAGACAACTGTGAAAAAAAAACAAGACAAGTTATGCAAATTTACCAAACAGTTGTTATTGATTTTATATCTCGTAATAAGCAAAAAGGTAAAAGCAGCAATAACAAAAGTACACAAACACAATTATACAAAGAAAACAAATGATTACAAGACATTGATTACTAAATTTACGTACATATGATCGGGCGTTCACAGACGTACAATCTCGTCAGTGAGCAAGGCACATCGTTCCATCTTCCCTGTGCGCGTATTTCAACACAGTCTTCCCCACTACCGCCGTTACTTGGCTCCCCGACTTTCCAGTTTGTAAACGTTCCAAACGCGAGATTTCCTGACGAAATCCAGACATGCACACCTTCATTATCTATATCATTTAATCCGATGTGAGCTGTCAGAAAAAATAAAACAACAGTATAAGTCAAAGAGCATATGACTTTATTTAATATCAAATGGACTTACATTTTTGAGATTCATGAAAAATATACAATACAAAGATAATTGATAAATTTTCTCATAACACAGACCTCATGCTTACGTATTTCTCTTTTACAACGATACTATTGCTTTACAAATTATGGTCAGAGACATACGCATTGAAAATATTATTTTCAAAAATGACAAATATTTACATGGTCCTGTGCCAAGTGATCGTACGAAGTCGTCCTCTGATTGACTTGTTATCTCCACAAGATGTCCTCCCATAGCGACACAATCATCCTGTCAATATTATTAAATGTCCTGTATGTTGTAATTCGGAATGTCACTTAATTGAAGTTTTATACATGTATATAATTATTCTTCGAAAACAATTTCCAAACACACAGGAATATGTTAAAAATATATAATCTTTATTAAAGTCTCATCTATACATAACATTAACAATATTTCAATTACAAATTGTAAAACATAAAATCATAAAAGAGTCTGTACTGATAGTGACAGGGGAGACAACTCCTCAGACTATATTACAAATACTTCAAATATGTACTGAAGAGTTACCTCTCTTTTCGTGCTTATTTAACCTGTAACTAACACACAATCTAAATATCAGCAATTAAAAACTAAAATACCCTTGCTAATCTGTTAATCTTCATAAAAGTTTTATAAAATCTTGACTACTCAATACGATCACAAAATGTCCTGTAATCTGAAAGATAGCATCAAATATGGGTCTACCTTTAATCAGAGTAAACTAAAATTAATTAACAAAGGTACTTTAGTCTGCCATAAAAGTTAGTTAACTAAAACATAAAAAATGTAATTGTAAGTAACACATAAAATAAAACCAAGAAGTAAAAGAAGTATTACTAAAATTACAAATAATATTGTAAGATAAATGTTATTTATAAAACAAATTATTTCTTTCTTTTAGAATAGCGTAACAGGTTTTGGCAGTTTCCCTTACAATATCCTTGTCGGAGAGAACAAAAATAATTTTCTCCTTGTTATTGAGAGAAACAAAGTTATGATTTAGAAATTAACATCTGTATTAGATCATGGTAGGCAAAGCATTCGAACAGAACATAAATCTCATTTTCAATTGAGAGTATGTTCTCTTGGATGTTTGCATATCTCCCGGTCTCCAGTCTAATTGGAGCTACACCACATCTGAAGTTAGCTAATGCTGATCGCTGACTTTTAAGGTGATTTAACATTTTTTTCAGTCTCATAACTTGTTTTATATAAAATATAAGGTCTTTACTTATTCCTACATTGCATCGTAGGGCCAACCTCACTATGAATATGTGTGTGCCAAAACAATCAAAAACATCCATAGAAGCATTCAATATTATATCACAGAAATTCCTCTGTAAAAAATGAATAATATCTATCTGTCATTTCCATTACGTTTAAATTTGACAAATGACATTTAAATTTGTATTGCCAATATTTACATTTGTTATTGCTCTGCTATTTCAAAACATACAAATTTTATGATTTATTCTAAATGCATCCATTGTCATAAGTCTATACCATTGCTGAGAAACAGACTTCCACAACCGAGTCTGCAATTTTCTTGTAATTTTGTTATGATTAATGCTTCCGAAGGATCACTTTGTTTCTTCACAACAGCAGGTGTCAAGTGCTGTGTTGCAGCTGTAAATGTTGCCCCGTACTTCACTTCAGTGTTGGTTATGTTTTCTAGTCCTTCGGGATTATTGATGCCAGCACTATTAAGTGTTGATAATTGAGTACCGGTCAAGCCGGTGCTAGGGGCTTTGAGGGATGTTGCACTTATTCATTATCCCTCATGTACAGACTCAATCAAACCAAGTCTGCAATTCTCTTGTAATTTTGTTGTGATTTCTGCTTCCGAGGGATCACTTTGTTTCCAGATTTTTTCCACTGCCTTACATGTGGGGGTTGCCAGGCTAATTCTCCATACAGAGCATTGTTGGGTGTATACTTTCCAGTCCCAAGATAAAAACGCATTGCTCGAGCTTGTACGGCATTGATGCAAGAGAAAGACTTGGTTCCCCAAACTGACGCACCGTAGGCCTTTACAGGCCATACCAGGCTATCAAAATGTTTCATGAACTCCTCCAATAGCTTTACATTTCGCAATTAGCGACCCAAGGGCTCGTCCAGCACTCTGAGCAACACATTTTGCTGTTACATTAAAATCCAAATGTTCATCTAATAATTAACCAAGAAAGGTATACTTATCTTCAACATTTATATTTTGACCTCCACATGTTAAACAGTATGAAGTCCTTTCAACAGAATTTGGTCTAAAGTGTACAATACTACTCTTAGTTGAATTTACAATCATAGAGTTACTTTAGCACCAACCACTTATAATATTGAGCATAAATTATAGATCAATTTCATTATCATATATCAATATATCAATACTATGTCATCAGCATAGAGTAGAATACAATGTTTCTCATTATCAATAAGTCTGCTGACTTTATGATAATAGCTTAATCATTGATAAAGAGATTAAAGAGAAGAGGTGACAAGCTACATCCCTGTCTAAGAGTACATACATTGAACATTTAACCAGTCAGTATTTTACCATTTATACCGACTTTAGATTCAAGTTTTTTCCAAAATAAGCTTCTTTTCATATAGTAATAAGCTTTTTTAAGTCCATTAATGCACGCACAGTATGTTGACTGCCTTAATTTCTTTCTTGTATCAATGATATTTATAAGTGACGACAAGTGATCTACAGAACTTCTATGTTTCCTTAATCCATTCTGCGTATCGACTATTCCTCTCAGACCATGAGGAAAATCTACCATCAAATCTATTATTCAAAATGCTACAATAAATTTTGTACATGGAACAGGATAATGAAATTCTTCTATAAATTAATGGATTCCGTCGATCAGCAGTACTAGACTTAGGAATTCAATATGTACAGCAAATGTTTATTCATTATACATTATAATCAAACGTTAAAATTAATGAACATTTTTTTTTTGGAAAAAACAGAAAAAAAAACCAAATAAACAAACAAAAACGGCTTAGACATTTCTTATTACCTATCTTTATCTACACGAAAATATCTTTACAAATAATGCTTTTTGTAACTTACAATATTGGTAAATCATCATTTGATCATCAGATTTATGATATAAGACCTTAAAAACAATGCAGTACAGAGTTTTTAAATACATACATGTAACTATCCAAATTTTTGACATCCTGTTTAAAGGAACTGCACACAAAAACAAAATATTTGAATTTCTCTCATAGATCAGCCTGGTCACTTAAATTGGAATGATATGTAAAAGCAAATTAAGAAATATACTAAGAAAAAAAAATGGATAATCGTATTTCTTTGATATTCTAACCAATCTGAGTAAACGGCAAAGCTTTTCAATTATTGTCAGTATAATTATTCTGAAAAAAATGGAGAGGGTGAATCATATGAAATTTGTAAACAAGGTCCAGACCTACATCAAATGTAACATTAATGTCGAATGAATATTTCCAGTCCTGTCATGTTAAAATAATAACTGGATTCATTATCGGAACAACTTGATTTCTGTCTAATGAATACAAAGTAAACGTTTTGGGTTAATACGGCCTTTTTTACTGTTATTTTGACAATGTTGGACGTCCATACAACAAAATTAATCAATGCATACATTTCTTTATTCCACATTATCATTCTGTTTGCATAAAGATTTATTGGTGGAAAGAGAAAGGTCTTTAGCTTTAAAGGCACATTATACCTAAGAAATTTCCTTAATTTCTTATTCTATAGAATTGCTAAGTTAATGTTTTCAAAATACTAAATATCAAATTTTCAGCAAACTTGATGTTTAACAACTGAGACATTTTGCTAAGAGAACGCATTCATGTGTCATAAAGGTATGCAGTCATGTGTCATAAAGGTATGCAGTCATGTGTCAGAAAGGTATGCCTTCATGTGTCATAAAGGTATGCAGTCATGTGTCATAAAGGTATGCAGTCATGTGTCAGAAAGGTATGCAGTCATGTGTCATAAAGGTATGCAGTCATGTGTCATAAAGGTATGCAGTCATGTGTCATAAAGGTATGCAGTCATATGTCATAAAGGTATGCAGTCATGTGTCATAAAGGTATGCAGTCATGTGTCATAAAGGTATGCAGTCATGTGTCATAAAGGTATGCAGTCATGTGTCATAAAGGTATGCAGTCATGTGTCAGAAAGGTATGTAATTATGTGTCATAATGGTATGTAGTAATGTGTCATAACAGTATGCAGTCATGTGTCATTAGGTATGCAGTCATGTGTCATTAAGGTATGCATACTTGTGTTAGAATGGTATGCAATTATGTGTCATAACGGTTTGCAGTCATATGTCTTAAAGGTATACAGTCATGTGTCATAAGGGTATGCAGTCATGTGTCATTAAGGTATGCAATCATGTGTCATGAATGTATGCATTCATGTGCAAAAGGTATGTAGTCATGTGTAATAAAGTTTTGCAATCATGTGTTATACATGTATGCATTCATGTGTCATTAGGGCATGCATTCATGTGTCATAATTGTATGCATTCATGTGTCATAAAGGAATGCATTCATGTGTAATAAATGAATGCAGTCATATTGTCATAAAGATATGCATTTATGTTTCATTAATGTATTGAGTCATGTGTCATATATGTATGCAATTATGTTTTATAAATGTATGCATTGATGTGTCATTTAGGTATGCAGTCATGTGTCATAAAGGTTTGCACTCATGTGTCATAAAGATATGCATTTATTTGTCATAAAGGTAGGTATTAATGTGTCATAAATGTATGCAGTCATTTGTCATAAAGGTATGCATTCATGTGTCTTTAAGGTTTGCAATCATGTGTCACAAAGGTATGCATGTTTGTGTCATAAAGGTATGCATTCTTGTGGCATAAATATATGCAGTTATTTGTCATAAAGGTATGCAATCATGTGTCATGAAGGTAGAGAGCTGTAAACAAAGCAACAATTTGACTTCCATACAAAATACTAAGTAACTTTAATAAATGTAATACAAATGCCAACAGAACAAAAGAAGCAAATCTAATCCATCTGTATGTCTAATGACCATAATAGGACACAAAAATGAAATTAAACTGATAGCATTTCTGAGGCACTGTGCCTTTTAATGAAGATTTTTTGCTGTTATTTGTTTGAATCCGCTTTTAGGAAATTTTATTACGTTTTGTTTCAGTTTCACTCCAGGCTTTAGTCGGTGCTAGGGGGTGTGGATGGTAGCTGGCACTTTCCAGTGCCGTCCATGATCAGACTCAATCAAACCGAATCTAAAACACCTCCGATCTTGTCTTTTTGTGCGTTATTCGGTGTGTATGGTTTTCCCCTCCTATTTAAACCAAACCCCCTCGAATAGCAACATCAACAATGTGTTGTTATGGCTTATTGAACTTATATTAATACCAGTTTTGAACGCTCAAATTTAATTTGTCCTAATGGTATATATAATCCTGTATGAAGGACACAATACAGCCAAGTTATTTGGATAAAGTCGCATAAACTGCTTGATTAGTGATGTAAAGGTTATTATATCAATTAGAATGCTACAGGATTGTGAGGATTTAAGTCAAAGATCATTAACATATTCTGCTTTGGAACAAATTCATTAATGAAAAAAACAATAAGTGGTAAATTAGATAGAAAGTTAGATAAATGAATGAATAAATAAATAATAAATAAATAAATAAATAAACAAAATAAATAAATAAATAAATAAATAGAATAAGTAAAGGATAAATGAATAAATAAAAAAGAACAATAAATGAATAAATTATGAATAAATAAACAAAATAAATGGATAAATGACATAATAATTATAACAAGTATTAAAAGATAGATAAATCAATAAATAAAATAAATAAGATAAAAGAATAAATACATTTCAAAAATAAAATTGTTTCTCTGGTCAAACCATACAATTCAATTCTTTTATGAAATTAGTAATGTTAAGGATTTGAGGTCCAATATAACTCTTACCTCAGCCGCTGTCCAAGTATTAGGACTTGAACTACGCAATAAAGTACTTTGGAAAACAAGCAACCGCCTTCGTGTTCCCTAAAAATTTACAATTAGCCCAGAGTTCCTTTGGGGCCCCCGGATTTTTTTGGGTAGTTGTAAATGCCTTTCTGTACAGTCCTTTTTTTGGCATGATTTGGTTTGACAGTCGTAATGTCTTTTAGGGGAAGTAATGTTAAAAATTGTTTTTTAATAAAAATAAAATAATAAATACTGTTAAAATAATGTTAAAAATGAAAAAAGGGAGTTTTAAATAGACTGATGTTTGTTTTTTAATTTGGATTTATATAGAAAAATTGGGAATGTTTGAAATTTTCTGATGTGTATTGATAAAAAATAATAACAGTAAACGATATTTGTTTTTACTTTTTGGCAGTAAATTTGTAACCCCGGAATTTGTACAATTACAGGCAACAAACCCCCTACTTTTGAAGAAAACACTGTTTTTGGTCCGAAAAACCCTTTAAAATTATTGGGGGGTTTTGAATGGTTTAAAATTAAAAAAAAATTCAAAATAAACATTTTTTTGGTCGGTGAAATGGAAGTTAAGAGAAAAAATTTTTAAATGTTTTTAATCAAAAAAATATTGACTAAATTTTAAAAGTTCTTTGTTGAAAAATCAAGTGTAAAAAGCCCAGGTTTATAAAAACAATGAAAATAGCCCAGTGTTCTCTCATGGGTTTTTGTTTTTCATATTTGTGTGTTTTTTAAATAAAATTTATATTTATCTAAGGGTTTGGTGACGGCGTGGGGAGTGGTTAAGCTGGTTTGAATCAAAGGTTTGACAGTAATCTATGGTTGCTCATGGTGGTTAAATTTTAAAAGGGAAACCCGTTGTTTTTTTTGAGAAAGGGGAAATTTACTTTTTATTGCATAGTAGGGTTATTTAGGAAGAATTTGAAGTGTTTCAAAAAGCTATGCTTCCAAAAATCGTATAAAAAAAAAGAATTTAAAAAAACTTCTATCTTATTATCATTTTTGTAAAAAAATAAAGTAGTTCCCACATCGGGAGCATTTTTCTGTGGAGCTATCAGCCCTGCAAAACCGGCCCCAAAAAAGGGAGTATATTAGGAATGTTTAAAAACATAAAAATTAAAATCTAAAAGTTTTAAATTTTACATTGACCCCTTGCATTTTTTTATAATGTTTTAACACAATCTAAGACAAAAGTAAAACGCATATATCTCAAAAAAGTTAAATTAATTTGAAAAAAGGGGTGCTTCAAAACAAAATTTAAATTTTTTGAATGTTATCAAAAAATCTGATCTTTTTGAAAGTTTTAAATTACCCCTGCATGCGGAACACAATTTCCCTAATAGGTGTTCCTTTTCCCCCCTAACCCTATGAAAAGGGAAAAAAGCCCAAAGGGCTAACAATAAAAATTATCAGGTATGTGTAAAAAATTTTTTTAAATTTTTTTTTTATTTTTTTCCCTTTTTTCAATTTTTGTTAGTAATATTTGGAAATTTTTTTGGTTTTAGTATAATCTTGTAAAAAGGGGTCAATTTTTTATGGTTTTGTTTTCAAAATTAATAAGCTGTTTTTTTCATAAAAGACTTTTAAATACGGTAAAGTATGTCACTTTTAAATCAAAAATCATACATGAAATGTAATAATTTTTTATGATTGAGCCGGCCCTCAGAAGGTAATTCCCCTCAAAAACAAATTTTTTTTCGTCAAAATTTAAAGGTTTTCCCCTGTTGTTACCCCCTTTGAACAACCGAAATATTTCTCTAAGGGTTTTTGTTTCCCCGAGGTGATATGCTAAAGTTGGGAAACAAAAAAGAATTGACTTTTTAAAAGGTCATTTAACCCCTAAAAAAATTTTTTTTTCATTTTTTCAAAAGCTTTTTGTGCATGTTCATAGTTTCAAGAAGTTACTCATTGGTAAAATACCTGAACCGTCAAATTCTGTGCATCTGTTACATTTCGGCAAATAAGTAAAGATTTAGTGATTTAATACTTTAAATGGAAGTCAAAATACTAAAAATTCACATTCATCGCTACTTTCTTAAGGATATATGCCTCTAAAATGATCTTAAACTATAATTTTAACTTTATAAAACTCACATTTCCCTGTTCTAAAGAATGAAAAAAGTATTCATTTCTGAGGCATAATGTGCCTTTAACTGCTAAATTTAAATACATGAAAGACTTACCGTTAATAAAATAAATCCTTTGAACATCTTTTGATTCTCAGCAATAACCGAATGTTATTTGAATGCTAAAAAATGATAAGATTATCCATAATTACAATCCAATATTGTCATATAACAATCGTTGGTTCACAGATTAAAGGGAGACGCCTTTATAGTAGGTCGATTTAAATAAATTGAAAAAAAAAAAAATAATGTAGAAGACATTTAAAAGTATTCACGGTCCAACCCTCGAAGTTTTAAACCATGTTTGAGATTTGTATCAAATCCAAAACTTTTGTTTGGTTTATGCACAATCTGCAGTGGTTCTTAAAAATCAAATCCCTGAGATCTAAGTGTGTGATTAGAATATTTCTCTATAACCTCGGTGCCAAGTCTTGTGCAAAATGCAATGTATATTAAAAAATATAACCTTCTATTATCATTAACATTTTATCAATTTGTTTAAAAAATAAGATGGAGAATTGCATGTTTTTGACCAGTTACATCTACCACATAAGTTTGTACATGTAGTTTCTTTTTATAGTAAATGCTCTAGTCTGCAATATCAAATCTTGACAAATTTTATTCTAATTAAATCAATGTTCATGTTTTAATAAAAAATGAATATTTTACAAGCTGTTGCCAATCTGTGTTTCGCTTATACTAACTATTTTATAACAATTGTAATACTCCATCCGACAATGTTTGTATTATTGAAAGCATTTTGTTTTTGTAATTACATCTAAGGCATTTTTTGACATTTTATTAATTTTAGAATACTTCATTATGCACATTCGACAATGTTTGCAAAATCATTTAATTTTCTTTAAACTAAGGTTAAGTTAAGAATAGAAGTAATGTCTTGAAACTATGTTTTCAATTCTTTAAATATATATCTTTTTTATATATCTTAAATTGTCATAATTGACAGATCAATGTTGCTTGTAACTTTGGATAAAGTTTTTAAAATTTAAAATAACTTTTTTAAATTTTTACCCCGAATTTGCTTATTGAATTAAAAATGCAATATTTTGGATTTTTAAATTTTTAAAAAAAAAGATTCTATAAGTGGACGTTTAAAAAGGATTATAAGTAGTTTCTTAAGTTCAAGAAGGGAAATTCCCTGTAAAAAGTTTAAAAGGGAAAAAAAAAAAATAAATTTAAATATTAAAAAATAATTTGGGATAAAAACAATATACCCTTTAGTAATTTGAAAACAAAATTTTGTTTAAATAAACAAAAAAACTTAATTTCCCAGGGAGGGTATTTTTTCCAAATTTTAATCAAAGTGTAATATGAGAAACACGTTTAGCAGGAGAATTTTTACAAAAAAAAAGAATAAAAAGGAAAAAAATTTTTAAAAACGTTTTTTAAAACTAATGAATTTTATATTAAGCAAATTGAAGTAACACATGTTGTTATTGTCGGATGAATGACATTAGTATTTTGCGTTAAATGTCATGTCATATCCACAGGTGAACGTCGCGTGGCCCTTACTTAAAATATATCCCCGTTCCCCCTCTACAAGCCAAAACCCTTATACATCATCCAAACATCATAAGTATTGACCAAAAAAAAAAAATTATGAAAAAAAATTATAAAAAAAAATTTATAAAGGTATTTTACTTGTGTCTAATCTTAGATAAATAAATACTCTTTACTAAGAAAACAACATTGGCACCTTCTCTGATTAACCGTAGCAAGTAATATTCAAGCCCAAACTGTCAACAAATGAAACTCGGAAGAGATCTGATTGCACTGTTTCGACTCAAACACACTGAATTAACAGTGAATGAATATTTCTTTGTATTGCGTATTTAAATATGATAAAATTAATTATTTTTGTTAAATTATTATACACATATAGTGAAAGTCATGACCGCGCGACGTTCACCTGTGGTCATATCTGTTATGATTAATAAGGAATATAACTTTTAACAAAAACAAGATAAAATTGACAAATATGTGAAACATATGTTGTGTTATTTGAGTTATAAAATAGAGAAAAACAGATTCCTTAAAGAAAGCCAAACACAACAAAATTGAAAATTGTTGCAGGCTCGGTTTGATTGAGCCTGTTCATGGACGGTACTGGAAAGTGGAAGTAACGGTCCACGCCCTGTAGCACCGGCTTAAGCAAAATTCAACATTTATCAAGAAAATGGTGAAATTTTGAATTTAGAAACACCTGCAGATGTTATAAAACCATCTTACCTACAAATTTTCTAAGAATAGTAAAATTTAATATGTACAACTATCTCCGTTCATTTGCACTTGATTAAATTTATGATTTTTGTACAATTCTTGTCATTTTGCCAGTAACACGGATCTTAATACAAAGAATGCTTTCATTTTATTTGTTTGCTTATGCGTGTGTGTGCATGCGTGTGTGTGTGTGTGTGTGTGTGTGTGTGTGTGTGTGTGTGTGACAAAATTATTAGGAGTCTTAGAATTAACTTTTGAATTGATCGGTGTTTGGATAAACTTTATATTTAATTAAAATAGTCATTATAAATAGTGAGATTGGGATAGCTTTTTGCTTAGCATGCATGATGCTCTTTATTAAAATTGATGCTTTTAAATGGTAATTTTCAATGTAACGTACATGTCCCGCTCCTTTCGCCCTTGTGTCCACTCCAGGTACTTGTTTGGTGCCTTCTGGGTGTCCTGCTGCTTGGGTGTGTCCGGGGGCAGCGTCCTGTGAACGTTGCCTTTGCCTTGTTGATCTTATTCTTGTTATTTTATTGACTTTTAAAAGCGTCCTGTTCTTGCGAAGATTTGAAATTTGGTGAAAGGAAAATTAGGGCATATTCGTTCTACAATAGTCTTGGCGAGAAATACTATCTATACTAAA